GCACGCATTAAACGCGCTATTACGTAATGCATAGCAAATTCATCATTTTTGGCGATAACTTTGCGCTGACATATTCGAATTTTACAAAACTTGGTGGACAGTTGTCACGTATATGGATACATATGTCTGCAAAGTTTCATTGATGTAGGTATAAAGATCGCCATTTTAGAGCAAGTTGAAGTTATTTTGGAATTTCCTCGAAAATGGCGAATTTGGAGGGCAATTTTCTCAAATTTGGTCAGTGATAGGGTATATAATTTTGTATATGGCTGGAATGGACATATCTTCAAGTATCTAAATCCAAAAAAGGGTACGGGTTTGCCAAGCCATAATGGAGATACGGCCACAGAAAGAAAGCCAATTCCCAGAACTTTAGAGGGCGCTATTTATGTTTTGCATAGCCATTTGAGCGTGAAATTTGGCATGGCTCTGTGCAATTATGAGATAAAGATACTGCGAGAAGATGAGACCTAACGGAATTGGTAAAAGAAAGTTATTGCAATTTTTAGATTTTTAGGGGTCCATTTTTCAAGAATTTGAGAGATTGTTGACGGAGTCGGTTTCAGATTTGAATTTTGAGTACGAAGATGGCATTTTCAAGGTCAGGTTATATGTAGCAGATGAAAGAACATCTCTTAGACTATCTAGAGGAATTTGTTAGAAGTTTGTAGGATCTAGGATAGTGGAGATAGGAAGGAATAAAATAAGGCCTTAAAATGGACCAGAAACGGACATAATGGCGCCTGGACGGTTATGCATGAGTGATTTCGAAAATCGAAGAATGTAGTGACCTTGATGAGATGTTAGAGACGATGCCTACGAAATTTGAAAGGAAAAGGACATGAGGAAAGCACCTTACTAGGAATCACAAGCACTACGTGCAAAACGAATGCGATTTCCGGACGATAAGGATAAGGAAAAGGAGAATATTAATTGGGCAGAATGTGAACGAAAACAAGGCAATGACGAAGGTTCGTCATTGCAAAAAGGAGAATATTAATGGGGCAGAATGTGAACGAAAACAAGGCAATGACGAAGATCGTCATTGCAACTATGTGTCTTCTGCTACCATTCAATACAGTGCCCTCTCTTGTTGAGTAATGGGATGGTTGTAAAGTGAATATTGTTATAGAACTAGTATTATTATTAAGAAGTTTATATGTTTATCTTTGTTCATATTATCATATGTGTATCATTGTTTATATCATCACATGTTTATCTTTGTTATACTATTGTTATATTGGTACTATGTAAATACGTTTGTACTCTCAAACCCCGAGAGGGGGTCGATAGAGTCAATACAAATCTTACAAATCTTATTCGCATAGAAGAAAGAGGGTGACGAGAGAGGGCGATATTAAAGAGAGAAAAGATAGAAAGATAGAAAATCAGTGGGAGAGAGAGAGAGAGAGAGAGAAAGAGAAAGAGAGAGAGGGGAGAGAGAGAGAGAGGGAGAGAGAGGAGAGAGAGGAGAGAGAGAGAGAGAGAGAGGGAGAGAGAGAAAGAGAGAGAGAGAGAGAGAGGAGAGAGAGAGAGGAGAGAGAGAGAGAGAGAGAAAGATAAAGAGAGAGAGGGAGAGAGAGAAAGAAAGAGAGAGAGAGACGGAGAGAGAGAGAAAGAGAGAGAGAGAGAGAGAGAGAGAGGGAGAGAGAGAAAGAGAGAGAGAGAGAGAGAGAGAGAGAAAGAGAAAGAAAAAGGTAAGTGTTGCAGATTTAGTAGTTAGAATACATGAGATAATACGAGGCTGTGACCGAGTGGAAAGTATATTTTGTTCATAAAATTCCGGTTCAAATGGTATATACACTCATTTAAAAAAGGTAGACGTTGCTTAAAATGACACTTAATTTAAAACGAGTCTTGATAGTGGGAAAGGAGCAAAGATCTGAACGACGGGGTGTTTCTTTGAACATGGATTATTATAATAAATAAATAATAATAATAATAGCCTAATAGTCCACTCCAAATTTTATTAAAACGAAACGGAAATTCTTTTTGCCCAAATTGATCGTGAGCCCGGCAGCCACTGAGCAGCGCCAGATCGACGTTGCTCTATCCCTTATTGTTGAACGCCAAACAAGGTAGCAACAACTCCCATCTTTTAACGTCTTTTGGTATAGGCCTATTTGTGTAAATCAGTGGCAGAGGGAGGGATTTTGTTTCTTTTCAGAATCTGAATATGTACTGGTCCTGGTCAAGATTGGCAATAGAAACTCGAATCTTTCCCTGCCGGGTGAAGTCCAAGGGCTGAGACCCTTGAAGCTCTTCATTTTGTTTAATGTCGACAAAAAAATGGTAATGTTCTTTTTGAAATTCACACAGCCCCTTTCATATCACGGAGGCGATTTAATTTTTTCCCCCTTTTATCTCTCCACTCTATCTCCTTTTCTCTTCTTCTTGGCCTCTTACCTTCTTTTTCTATTTCTTTTCTCTTTTTTCTCCCGTCGCTCTGTCTCCCCCCTTGAAAATAAAGCCGCCGGGGGGGGGGGGGGGGTGGATTTGGCCCCACCTGAATCCGCCACTGGTTCAAATAATCAATTACAGTGTATCCAAGTAAATAAAAAGTATTTGCGGTACATCATTTGTGAACAAACAAAATAGAAATAAAAGCAAATAAACAAATAGGCAAACAGACCGTAGTCAAATGATCGGGTAATTGACAACAAAAATTGATTGAATGAATTAATGATAAATGATTTATAATGACTAAATGATTGAATAAATTATTTGAATATGAATAAATACATGAATGAATAAATAAATTAATAATTTTTTGTAGTAACATAACTAATTCTGTTATATTCGAAACAAGATGAATAATGGCGTCGGCATAATTGCCGTTAGGCCTATTTTGCAAAGAAAATGATAATTGGTTCAAAGTATAGTGCTTCGAATACAAAGTAAACTTACGATGGTTTAATAATAATAACCTGCAGAATTTTAAATCGGAGCGAGATTAAAACCTCATGCCTTTCTTTCACGTTGTTCATATACCCGACACTACTGGGAGTAGATGATTTCCACAACAAAATTTACAGAAAGCAATTCGATATTTTCCAATCTTTTTGTTATTGTAATAGGTATGGTAAATTTATCGATTGTTAATAAATAATTCATTAACCGTCTGAACAAATTAAATAAGGGCTATTATTCATTATTGGGCGCGAAATTTCGAAGTCCTGAACCAACACATGAGCGAGGGGAAAAGAAGTAATCGAGCTTTAACAAATATTGCATCTAAATTAAAGCCCCTCTAAAGTGGTGGGAGCCCCCCAATTTGAGGTGTTTTTTGCGCCCCCTTGATATCCAAACTGGATACGTGCCCCCTCTGCCCTCGCCACCTCCCATAGATACGTCACTGTTTAAATTCTACCATCAGGTCAAAGTGAAGTTTTATGAGGGAAAGACAACCCGCATGTTGGCATCTTTATTTCTAGGGTGAGCGGGAGGAGGAGGGTAGCTATAGTGGTGCAGCCTCACCCCCCCCCCCCCCATCTCTTAAACCTTTAGTAACGAGCAGCAGTTTCCTCTTGCATTTTTTTAGCGCCTACACAGTTAAAAATTTAGTGAACATGTTGTTTAAAAGTTTAAACAACTGTTGATTAACGGGTGATCTGATCTAAGAGTTGTTTAAAATGTTAAGCAACTCGAGTTGTTTAAAGTTTAAACACTTAGTTGATCAACATTTTGAACAACTTGTTTAAAATCACAATTTAAACAACTGGTGTTGTTTAAAGACGGTTGTTTAAAACGGAGCTGTTGTTCAGTGGGGGTTGTTTACACCAACTGGGTTGTTTAAAGAAAGTTGTTTAAAAAGGAGCTGTTGTTCAGTGGGGGTTGTTTACACCAACTGGGTTGTTTAAAGAAAGTTGTTTAAAAAGGAGCTGTTGTTAAATAATAATAATAATATTGGATTCTTATATAGCGCACGTATCGACCTTGCAAGGTCCTCAAGGCGCTCCAACATTACCCGGCTATGCTAGGCTGCCAAAGGACATTAGTTCCGCGGCGGGACTCGAACCGTGGACCTTGTGATCGACAGTCCGGCGACGTTTCCACTCATCCACGACACGTCTACAGCTTGGTTGGCCATGATTTGAAACAAATCTTTTAGCCAACGCGCACTTTACTGGCACGTGACACATGACGTCATATGTAAACAACACTGTCTAAAAGCTCTCGTATAGTAAATAAAGCAGTCATTAAATTTTAAACAGCGAATGTTTAACAAAATTACTTTCGTTTCGAGCAACATTGTTTACAATTTGTTCAACTGTTGTTTAAGATAGTGTACAACTGTAAGTGAACATCACTTTTTTAAGCAGCGTTTTTACTGTGTAGGCGAGAAATTAATTTTGTACAAGTCTTCACTTTTGAATTATCACCACTATTTCGTTATTAGTTTCGGTTTTCTAAATTTTAGAGGGACTTTCCTTTCACATTTCTCCGCAAGAATCAATCGTCCTCGGGCTTCACCAACCCATTTTGTGGTAGGCTCTAGCTCTATTGAAATTTGCATAAAATTCTTCTCGCCGAAAGGCTTATTTTAATAATTGAAATATCTTCAAATGGTGAATGCGAAGGGGCGTAGCGATGGAGCGAAAAGACTCTCGTCAAAATTAGCACTGAATAAGAAAGAAAAAAAAATAACCAAAAAACTATTTTATGTTAGGGCTACTGAGTTTTTCTAAGTTTTTTTTTTTGGGGGGGGCAGGGCCGTCCCTCCACTTAAAAAAGTTCATCCTCCCCTCCTTGGAACCTTGTCGCTGACCCTGCCTCCCACAGATTTAACATTCACTCTGATCTCTGCAATGAACCAGGCATAAACCTACGAGATTCTAATCAAACAGTTATTTCCGTGGAATTAACATTTAGCGTTAGCAAAAAACCTGACATGATTTTGTCTGTAGATGGCGATGGACTAGATTCCAATGTTTCGATCGTGAACATGGTTTGAAACCAATCCAGGAGCTCGAGCTAGAGGGCCAGGGTAAATACTAGGGTACGTACCGTACCTCCCTGCCACAGAAATACGCTTTACCATACATAAACCTCCACCTGGATACGCGCCGCTACTCTTCACTTATACGGTTTCCAATCACAGGCTACCGTCAAGTTTTGGGGTGCAAATCTCTGGCGCTCGACGCCGAGAGAGAAATACTTTGCTAGAAACCTTCAAAGTTTACCAGTGATGGGGCCCAGATATCTATTCCCCGCTCTTCTGCTGTTGCTGGTTACTTTGTCAGTGGACGCAAGAAGAAACCGGCGTCCCAATGTGATCATTTTGTTTGCAGACGATTTGGGGTATGGAGATTTGCAGGTGTACGGGCACCCGACCTCGTCTACGCCCAACCTGAACCGACTGGCCCGCGACGGGAAGGTGTTCACTCAGTTCTATGCAGCGGCCGCTATATGTAGCCCATCGAGGTAAGCTGAGCAAATAACACAAATTTGTTTCAACCTAGCCATGCGTACCTGTTTTTGTTTATTTTTCATTCATTCTATTTACATTGAACGGCTTCCCTCGGAAGATCGAAGAGGCAGTGAAATAAATGTCTAGTATACTGTATATGGGGAATTCTTTAATTGAAATGACATATTGTATTTTGTCAATTTGTATATTAATAATATTGATCAATGCCAAATGCGCAGTCAAGAATCTACCTCTGAACCCCCCCCCCCCCCTCTTGCCTCCCTGACTCCCTGACTTGTTTATTAATATGTGAGTACCTAAGTGACAAGATGAAAGACCTGGAAGTCTGGAACCTTGGCTTCTACCTCATTATTCTTCCCATATTTGCTCTAAAGGTAAAGGTAAATGGGGATGTTGGATGTCTATTTTTTTTTAATGAAAACATTCTCGAAAATTGGATGGTTATCATGGTTTTATCAGTCATGGCCACAATCTGCTGCCAGACCAAACAGTAACATCCTCTATTAATTAATTGTATGGCAACATAATTAAATAAAATGATTATACTTTAGAGCAATTATTTGGAAACCTAGCGCTATAAAGTGAAATTGATAAAAATGTTGCATTATGTGTAGAGCCTTGCCCTTGTCAGGGTGTTTTGCAAAACAAACGTGAGTCGGTCAGCTGAGTGTAGCATTAGACTTGATTGTAGCTCTGTGGGAAAAGTTAAATCTTGGGAAGATGTACCTTTTCCCATAGAGCTACAACCAACATAATAGAATGGATAGCATTTTTATATGTACACAGTATGTACTCCGATTTACAAACCCCCCAAAATCTCTAACTCTTTGTGGCAAAGAAGATTTTTTGCGGCCACATGAGGCCAGCCAGCCAGCTTGATCAGGCTTCGGACAATGAATGATGAGGGGGTAGGAAGTGGTCAGAGGAAGAAGAAAGCCGGACCAGACCAAACAAAAGAAGCAGACACTATTGTGCTAAGGGGCTGATGCCTTAAATCCTTTTCACACTCTGTCTCTGAGTATACTCAGGTCACAAGGAGGGCAGAATAACTTGTGTGAAAGAAAGGGAAGGTAAGATATATTCGCTTGTTTTGCTACTTAGACCCCGCCGTGGCCCGAGGACTGCTGTTGAAATTTTGATTGCGTTCATCCGTGGAGTGTCGCAGAGTGTCAGGGACCTACATACCACTGTATGTGTATGTAACCCTGATCGAAAGATAGACCTTCACACTGAAAATGATATGGAAGGAGTGAAGAGGGGGGGGGGGGGGGGATAAGGTAGCTCTGGAACGCGATGTAAACAATCTGTAAAAAACCTTTGGACCATTGACAAAGAGCTTGTTGGAAAGTTGTTGAAAATTAAAATCTACAAACCCAGCAAATAAAGAATTACCTTGACCATAGAGCATTGAACTTGTCTATTTCTACTTCTGTTGCTGGTGACTCTTTATCAAAGTCTGTTCAGCATCTTTGCCATGGAAGTCTAAAAGAGCATCTGTGATTAAAGGTAATACAAAGTTTTGGTATGGGGTCATGAATTCGGTTCGAATGAACATATTGGAAGCATATGCGATCCTACTCTATTCAGTGATCGTTGTCGCAGTTGAAATCGAGTCTAAAGTTATGAAATTGTAAATAATAACTCTTTATGTTGATAGCTCCCTCTCAAGGTCAAGATATTTAATTAAGCTATACAACAATTTCTTCACTAAAATCTACCGATTAGCTATTCACGTTTGGAAATGTTATATCACAACTACATATTCTGAGATTGTCATGGTCGCAGCTACCATTCTACGGCCATCGGCGCTATTTGAACTTTTATCAAAAATTTACCGGGAGCACCGGTAAATCTTTATATTCAATTTTCTCGAAAGCAGAAGTGTTTTAGGGACTAAATTTTCTAGTGCTTATAAAACATCCACAGGGGCATCCAAATATATCAAAATTGTAAAGAATCACTATCCATCCATTTTTCAAAATTTCCCAAAACTTTGTATTGCCTTTAAGGAATACAAAATTGTACACTTGGTGTCCATCATGACCTGCATTTGAAACATTATTTTGAAACATATATGCAATTAGCTTATTGGGTGATGGAAAACCACAACTATTTTTCATGTACCTCCTTTCCTCTCTATATTTCCAGTCACAGTCAATTTGTTTGTTCTCTCTTTTTGGAGAAAGTTTCCAAAGAACTGGAGTTGATACACACAGTGCTGACGTCATAAAAAAGTATGAAGATTGTGCTTTTTCAGGACATTGATCTGTAGGTATACTTGCAAGAGTGCAGAAGAAGGATGGAGAGATTAGAAATAAATTTAGTTGAAAGGAGGAGTTAGAGAAAGAGCTTTAAGGTTGAATGCAAAACTAAATACACTTAGTATTCAAATTTGCATTTCTTTTCTTTTTTAAAATCTTTATATATCAATTTGAAATCCAACTACCACATAAGTCTGTGAATATTGATGTGCATCCCCTCTTTCTTTTCTCTTCTTTTTTTTTCTGTCTTTTCCCCCTTTTACCAATATTTTGTTCCTCCATATTTGTATCATTATGTATCCTTTGAGGGTAGTCATACTATCAAGCTTTGCTTATTTTGTCAACCCTCTTGTTTGATGTTCTCGATTAGTTACACCCAGCCTTACTTTATTCTACATATATTCTTTTGTCATGTTTAAATTTGCAATATTTGTTTGTTATATATTTGTAAAAATGCAAAAGAAAAAGAAAATCAAACAGAAATAAATAATCAAATCAAAAAATCAATCAAATCAAATTATTAGTTTTTGCTAGGAAATGAAATAAACTAAAGGATACAGGTTCATAAATTGGTTCATGGGAAAGGGAGATTTCCTCACAGGCAGTTTTTCTTTGTGTACATTTCCCCCTAGAACTCATGCCCATTTTTCTTTGTCAAAACCTGTACATTCATTGACAGAAATAAGATAGGAAGTGCAACAACATACATTTAGAGCATGAGAAAATGCTGTAATCACTTTTTGTTTTCCAATTTCCGTCATATGAGTTGTTCGAAATGTTTTTCTGTCTGCCATCCTGATAGCAAGGAACACAATGAAGTGGTTACCAAGGTGTTGGAATTTTAAGCCATTTGAACCAAATTTGTTTTTGCCCACCCTTCACTCATACTCTCACCACCTTGTATGTGGGGAAGGAATTAACTTTTGTGCAACATTTGTCCCAAATCTCGCCTTCTACAACGTTATTCAAGCTAGTCACCACCAAAGTTCCATGTTTTTTCGTGGCAAATGCACCGCAGAAATGGCCGTATCCCAGAGCGATGCTGGCCCCATGAATAGCTGAGTGACTGTGGTGGAAATCTCTATTTATCCTTCGGGTTTGCACAGGAACCTTACACTGAACAGCGCCGGAGAACATTCATTGTGCTCCATGAAATCCTATATGACTTCTCTTTGGCTCAACCAACTTACAATTTAATAGCTCCCAAAGGGTTACTACCCTCCTTCTGCCAACCCCCCATTTAGACTAGCCAATTTCATCTTAGAACTAACTATGAAAACCCTCAAACAAAGTTCTCCAATAGACCGGTTTACTATAAAACCTTTTCAAATTTTAGGCATACTTTTTGGACATAGGTTATTCTTGACTACCTGAAACCTTGTCCAAAGCTTGTCCAACATAGCAACACTTAATATATGCAGACACGATTCTAAGTATTGTACATGTAGGTCATTCATTTTTAAGAAGTTAATGGCATTATATGTCCCTAGGAGAGAAACATTAGAATATTGTTAGTAAACCGGTCTATTCAAGTCTTAGCATTGATATTTCTCCTGTTGGTATATGATCACACTTGATGTAGGTATCATTGAAGAGACTGTGTATTCTCCTTTACAATGATGCCCTTTTCATTATGATTATGTTATCATGGAATATGCACCTGAATAGAGGGCCAAGGCAAAAGTGAAATGTTGCAAAATGCATTGTTATTGTCAACTGTAGATGCTTTATTTGTTTGAGGATGTGTTTTGAAAGAATAACAAAGCATTTTTCAGCATTTCACTTTTTACTTGGCCCCTCATATTTAGGTGTACTGCACAGTCCATGATTACATAATGATTACAAATGGGGCATTGATAATTTAAAGGGAAATAAGCAGACTTTTCAATGATACCAACATCAAATATGATTATATACCGTAGTAAAAAGAGAGACATTAACAATAAAACTTGAATTGCAGAATGTATACATTTCTTAAAGTGTGAACAGTCTACAAGACTTTTTATCGTTTCCCCCCTTCCAATGGCAAGGACTATTGTGTTAGTTTCGCACCTCCTAATGCAAACATAGAACTCAATCAAAGGCGGAGAAGGTGGTTATTGATAAAAAAGGAAGCAATTTGTGAACTATTTGCACAGACTTTTGTATTGTATCAGGCATGGTTTCTCTCCGTATTACCAGAACTTGAGGATATTTGTAGAGTTAAAGATGGCAAATTCAAGACATTTGTGAACTACATTGTATTTGCAAAGATTTTAGTATACCCCAAGCAGAGGCCTTCCTCTTCCTCCAAAGGGTACCTGAGTAGACTTTAAGGATGTTTTCAAAGAGTCAAAGATGGCAAATTCAAGAAATTTCTGAACTATTTGCAAAGATTTTTAGTATACTAGCAGAAGTTTTCTCGGTAATTCCTCCCTTACACTGCTGTTTTGCTTGCAGTGTACTGTATGTCCCTATGGTGTTACAAGTGTTGGTGTACTGTATGAAACACAGCAGCAGTATGTGTGTGTTTCTTTGATTTCAGAAAATGAGAATTTGCTAAGTCATCTCACGTCTTCATCGTCAATTTTGTTCTTCCTGTAGCCTTGTAGGCCCTACAATTATTATGGTTGCCAGGTACCCATTTGTATATGGGTGGAGGCCTTTTGAGGCTGGAGGGTGGCAAATGTTGAATAATAATGTCTTGCCAAAGGATGTTAGTGGTTGGCTGGGATACAAACCCTCAACCCTCA